AATATCTATCCTCACCTCCCTCAGCTCCTTGTAGGATGCTGCTCCGAAGCCTGCAGCTTTTGCACAGACATTCATCATCTGCTCCAACCAAACTCAGCCGATACATCAGTGCAATCGCATGCAGCATCATCATCATCAACATCATCATCATCATCATCATCATCATCATCATCATCATCATCATCATCATCATCATCATCACCATCACCACCACCACCACCACCACCATCATCATCACCATCACCATCACAATCACCATCACCATCACCATCACCATCCCCATCACAATCACCATCACAATCACAATCACCATCACCATCACCATCACCATCACAATCACAATCATCGCCTCCTCGTACGACCTGAGCTATAATCACGAAGTCCGTGTCCACTTCTTGCTCCTTACACCACTCCAGCACCTCAAAACCGTCTGCAACCCCCGCCTTGCCAACAGAAGCGAGCTTGACAACTACCCCGATGAAGTGCGTTCCGGTCATCTTGTTCGGAACCACCTTCCTTTCCTCGAACTTCTTCACCTGACCCATCACCATCGTCAGCACGACATGCTCCTTGCCCAGCCTCACAACTCACGATCCTCCATATGTCCTGCATGCTCGAGTCCTCCCTCGGACTGTCTGCCGCGATGTAGCAGGCGCCGAGCGCTGCCATGAAGTCCAACGTCCTCGGCTGAGCCTCCGAGGCTTCGAGAAGGTTCTCAACCGCAGTTACGGCAGACGGCAGGTCGAGCATGCCATTGCCCGCTGCGAACTCGATGGAGGTGAAGGTGCTGAATTCTTGGAAGAAGCTGCTGGAGGACAGGGACAAGGCACCGCCCCTGCGATGCCCATGATGGGCCAGAATCGAAGGCGGCGGGCGTTGCCAGGTCGACCATGGATTCCTTCGGCTGTCATGGAACTTCCCCTGTGTTTGGCACACGGAGGCTGCAGAGCATCGGGAAAATATGGCAGGACTTACGAAGCCAGTTGAAGGAGAGAGTGGGAGAGAGAGGCCAGCAGGAGGACGGGAGGATGCAACGGGGAGGACAGAGGTCGACGATAATGATGAGAGGAAGAAGGAGGAGCTGAGAGGGGGGGGGGAGAGGGACTGTGAGGCAAGAGATGAGGAGAGATGAAGAGGGGGAGGAGAGAAGGAGGAGGAGGAGCTCAAGCTGAGAGCAACAGCCGCCATGATCGGTATCATGAGCGTGCGATGCCTCGCCATGGAGGCTGCTGTCGGGGTAAGATTCGATACTAGGGTGGGGGTGGGAGGAAAGGGGGTAGTAGATAAAGGGGGTAGGGAGGTATGGGTGTGTAATAGGTCCTGAAATGGGGTACACTGTGGGAATAGAGGGGGTACTCCTGACCATGGTAAGGTACAATGATTTCATATGGGGTACATGAGTTTTCCTGCCCACTTGAAAATATCTCCTGATAATTTCGTGATTTTGAGAAACATTTCGATGCATGACCCTCAAATCGAAATGGGTTCCAGGGAATGATGGGGCGGGCCTGAATACTTGAATAATTTGAAATACTTGAGATTACATTGAAATATGGCACGAGAAAATCGAAAATGCTGGGGTGTAAGAAATCCTAATTCAAATTATGTCATTTGTGGGTGGGGGTAGTAAGACTACCGGTTCTTGTATCAAAGTACCCCCTTCGAAGATAAATGATTTCGCGGTGATGGAGGGGTCTGTGTCAAATGAAAATCAAAGTGTTGGTGGAGGGTGGGTGATTGGCGGGGGTAGGGTCACAAGGATCACTGGAATGATGGCAGGACGTCTATGGCTTATGGCAGGTAAGCCGAGCGGGAGCAGCAGGAGGGAGGGAGGGAGGGAGAACAGGCAGGCAGGTAGGCAGGCAGGCAGGGGAGGGTAGGGGAGGAGGAGTTTCGGGAGGGGGGATCAGGAGGAGGAAGAGGAGCGGCACGACCATCATGAGCAGCAACAGAAGATGGATAGGTGCAGTCGCAGGAAAGGTGATACGAGATGAGTTGGGTCGGGGAAGAAGGGCGTGAATTCATACAGGAACAGGAACCTGTTCACATGAAACAGGAGGGAAAGTAGTGGCGTGTGCAGATGGTCTCTAGAGAGCTGATCGTAGATCCATCACTTCTAGAGAAGCTCATCAGTGCGACTTGACTGCATGTCAGCAGAGGCATTGAACCCCTTTGAATCACTTTGAATCACTTTGCCTGATACGCTCACTTCTTTCAGCCTTCGTCTGCGGTGTGAAGGCGTTCCATGTGCCTTTCGCTGCTCAGCTTCCGCGGAGAACCGCAATGGAAAGACCTGCGGCGCATCTTCAAGTGAGGCCGCGGTGTCGTCCGCAGCTTCTGTCCCTGCGGGCGCAGAGGAGGAGGGAGGACGAGGGGAAGCCCTTCAGTCTGCTCGGCAACCCCTTCTCGCATGAGCAACTCGGCCAGGAGGCAAGGGAGGAGGTGGACAAACAGAGGGAAACTCTCCCTTCCATAGCGCTGCTGCCGGTGAGATTGGCCCTCCTTCCCTGACCCGTTTGCTCATCACCACTGCTAACTCTCCCTCTATCTCTACCTCCACCACTTCTAAACTCTTCCTCTACCTCTACCTCTACCTCTACCTCTACCTCTCCCTCTCCCTCTCCCTCTCCCTCTACCTCTACCTCTACCTCTACCTCTACCTCTACCTCCACCTCCACCTCCACCTCTCCCTCTCCCTCTACCTCTACCTCTACCTCTACCTCTACCTCCACCTCTACCTCTACCTCTACCTCCACCTCTACCTCTCTACCTCTACCTCTACCTCTTCCTCTACTCCGGCCCGTCCCCACCTCATTCCTCCACAGATTTGGCTCGGAGTGATTTTTGCTGGCCTGTTCCTTCCTTCCCCTGAGCTGCTTGAAAGCATGCTGTCCTCTGTCAACAGCGCGGCTACTGGAGCCGTCGAAATGGCAGCAGCAGCCCCGTCGGGGTAACTCTCCTCCTCCTCCTCCTCCTCCTCCTCCTCCTCCTCCTCCTTCTCCTCCTCTCCGACTTCGGATTCCAGGTAGTTTCGCGGGAGCGGCAAACGCTGCAGTGGGGAATCCGGCCATGCCGAACATTCAGGTGAGGGAGAAGTAGAGGAGTGTAGAGACCGGGGACGAGGAAGAGGAGGAAGGAGGAGATACATGGAGGAGGCAGGAGGGGATAGGAGAAAGGAAGGAGATTTAGGGAGGCAGGCAGGAGAGAGGGAGGGAGGAGATCGAGGGAAGCGAGCGAGCGAGGAGGTGGAAGGAGGGAGGACAAAGCTCTAACAAGTTTGCTGCAGGGAGGATTGAACCTTAAGGAGCTAGGTGACCTGCAGCTGGACCCTTCCACGTTTGTTCCTGTCTGCCAGGCAAAGACAAGAAACCCCAGCTGTCGCCCTGCTGACAGTGAGCTACCAGATCGCCGATCGCTTCTATCGCATTGCCCAGCAGGTTGTGTACAAGGTGGCAGGGAAGGACACATACCAGGTGACGCCCTGAGAGCAGCAGGAGGAGGAGGAGGGGAGGGATTGTTTTGGTGGGGGAGGAGGAGGAGGAGGAGGTGATTTATTGACATTTTGAAGGAATATGCTCCTCTGATTGCTGGAAGCTTGCTCAGGTAGAATCCTTTGCTCTCCTCTCCCACCCTCGCCGTTCTCATGCCTCCCATCCCTCTCCTCACTCCCTCACTCCCTCACTCCCTCACTCCGTCGCTCCTTCACTCCCCTGCGACTCGACATAACTTCGTCTCCTTCCTCTATCCTCGTTTTCGGTTCCTCTCTTTCTCATCCTGAGCTTGTCAGAGTGAGGTTGGAATTCTGTGTTCTTGAGAGTTTTGTCTACGAGGTAATCTTGTTCCTGGCATCCCCTTCCCTTCCTGCCTCCCTCCATCCCTCCCTCCCTCCCTCCCTCCCTCCCTCCCTCCCTCCCTCCCCCTCCACTCACTCCACCTCTCCCGCTTACACCATTCAGTCCATCATCCCCTTCATCAAAGCGCGAGGATTGTCGTGGGTTTTCCCCGTGAAGGTAATTCTCATATCGTCTTGTCCGTCTTTCTTTCTCACCCGCTCTCCTTCCCCTCTCCCTCCTCCCCGTTGCCATCAGGAAACTCTTGAGACTTTCGTTGCTGGAGTCGTCTTTGCCGTTGCCTCCAACCTCGTACTGATCGGATCCACGAAGGTGAGCAAGAGGAGGGAGAGGGGGAGGAGAGCGTAGGGGAGACGAAAGAAGGAGGAGACTTGGTAGGAGGGGAGGATGGATTGAGATTGTGGTGCCTGAGACTGACATTGAGTGGTTCAGATCATCACGATCATCATCAGCTACCTTGGTGATGATGAAATCTCCTCTTCCTCTTTAGCGGTGTTGACGATTTTCTCCCACTCCTCCCTCCTCCTCCTCACTCCGGCGGCTCTCCTCCTCTCTCTTCTTTCCCCTACTCTCGCCTCCTTCACCTCTTTCGATTTCTTCCTCTCAATGCAGACTTCTTCCTTGGACTTCCCCTCCGTCTTATCTTCGGCTTTCATCAACGATCAACTCC